CAAGCTGTCCCTTTCCAATACTATAGAGAAAAGAACTAATCTGAGCTCACACAAAAGCTACTCACAGAACCACCAAGGTTGGAAGAGATCTCCAAGACCAACCATCCATCCACCACCAATATTTCCACACTGTATCGTGCCCCTTAGCATCACATCCAAACATTTCCTGAACACTTCCAGGATGGTGACTGCAGAAGAAAGGGAAATTTTCTAGTTCATATCTTCCAATGTGTTTGAGTTCTACTGTGTCTTCACCAACCTGGGGAGACAAGACTACATTTCTGCAAATACACTACAGAGATTTTATCATCTTCTTTTATCACCTCAACTCCCAATACATTTGTTCTTTTTTTTTTCTTTTTCTTTTTTTTTTTTTTAGCTATCATAGAAAACTGGAGTGATATTTTCAGAGAATTACTAGTAATGGTGCCAGAATTTCTCCCATTTTACATAACAGCTTATCTAAACTCCATCAGTTGGTTAGTATAGATGAAACACTTTTTTCATCATGAATAATGCTTTGCTTTATTAGCACTGATTTCACCTCCCATTTATTGAATTTGTTTGACTACACGACTTTCACAGTGTAGAGCCTCTAGTTGAGTAGGTCATTTAAACTGTCTTGTTAGTAAAGGAGAGAAAAGTGTTTTAAGAGATTATTTATCTCATTCTAAGGTAGACATATGACGCAAGTCAAATGAATTACAATCTTTTTCTCTCTTTTTCTTTTTTTTGAGCATGAAGGGAGCCTAGAAGCAAATATGCCCATAGAATGTAAGTGAAGATAAGCAAGATAGATTGTTACACTGAGAATATCAAGAATCTAAAAAATAGGCGTCTAAGCCAGTCAGTCTCTCTTCCAAGTCAAAGCAAAAAGACAGGAACTGCCTATCAGCAATTCACCCCATCTTTCCATTTGGCAGGATCACAGGTGCACAATGCCTGCCATCTGCACAGCTGTGGGAAGCACCTGCCCTCGGATCTGACTGCTCTAAGGAAGTCTCCATCACCTAAATGCTTTGAGGTTTCATGATCCTGCAACCCCTTTTCAGATCAGTTCTTGATGGGTTGAACAGCACTTGGTTCTCCTCTTTCATTTAACACAACTCATCATTCAGCGTTCTGTCTTTTAAGCCGCCATAAATGCTTCCTCACCATGAAAAATAATGTATTACTTTTCCCTTCTAATTATGTTTTAGACTGAAAGTTCAAGTAAATATTCATGGAGTGGAAAATATCAGGAAGAGTATTACTGTCAGAAAGAAACATTTCAATACCCATTAATTAAAATGGCTGTCTTGTTTTTGTTGAACCAAGTGCACATCTTTGTTTAGTTGTGGTTGGAAACATCTCTGCCTCTTAAATAACACTGTTTTATGATAACCACGGTTTAATACAATTTTGTCATTAGCCTTCCATTTTCTTATAAGAATGCCAATTAATTATAGATGAACGATTTACCAAGGACCATGATTACCAACATTGAAGGAACAAACTGAAGCATTTTGTCTTGATTCGAGAGTCTGAAATATGCCAATTACTTAACAAAAATTAAATGAAGGATCTAGCATTTTCATTTGAATGTGCATGCAAAAATCAGTAAAAATCAAAATTTGGCATTTCTGATTTTTTAAGAAATGTTTTTTTCTCTTGAAAGGCTGAAATGAAAAACATCCCAGAAAGATCCAACTGCTGGGTGAAAATTCCATTACTTAACCAACTCCACTTGTCTTCAAATATTCATCCAGAGCTATGCCAGGAATGTAAATAGTTACTCACAGTGCCTGTAACACCCACTAAATGGTACATAGTTTTGGATGATATGAGCAGAGTTATCTGTCTCGATACTTGCAATGTCCAAAGAGAAGTACTATGACACAGCTATTCAGATCTATTACTGCAGATTACGTAAGTGAAGCTTGGTTTGCACTTCTAAATAAGTCTTACACAAAGGCTGCAGACACATTCCACTGTATCTAGGAACAGAGAAAAATCCTTGTTTCATGTAAACAAAAGATAGGCACCGATGTGGTGTTCCAAGCAAGAAGAGGAATGGGCCTTTAAGAGAAATTTCTGTAAGAAAGTTATGATTCGTACTCAGAAGAAAACACTTTCTGAACAACTCTGCCACTTCAAAAATATTTAGATACCAAAAAATGCAAATTTCCATGTTTAGTTTAGACGTGGAATGTAATCACAGATGATTGACTGGCCTTGTCATAATGAACCTTTTAACAATTGAGAGGTGATGGGAAAAATAACCTCTTTGCTTATATTATAAAAAAACAAATCCCATTTTGTAACGAGTAAAGCAATGCAATCAGTAGCAATTAGGAACACTGCTGCTTTTGAGAACTCTTCTAGGTGACAAACACTGTTCCTTGCCCAAATCCCTTTACTAATGTATACCCCTCTGCTCTAACTAGCTTAGAAAAATGAGAGTAATTACATGTTTTATAAAATTTCCACATCATTCACACCAGAGTGCCAGAAAGGAGCTAAGCCAGTGACATGCAGTGTTATTGTAAGCAAAGGAAAGGAAGAAATGTCAGCAAAACAACAAAAAATAATAATATATCTGTGAATGCTTTTAGGAGGCTCCGTGGGTGAGCAACTGTATAAGCAAAATCAAATCAAACTTGGACTAAATGGTTATTTATTTTCAAGACAATGCAGTGATGCAAGAAATAAAAGCATCATTCAATTTACACGCATCAAACCTGTGCTGCTTTCAAGTGCAGCTGCTCTTTTCATGTCAGTTATCATCACAAGTTGTCAAGGAACAGCTCTTTTCACTTGCAGATAATTCTACAAGATTGTTACAGAAGTAGAATTTGACAAAATGAGGGAAACTTTCAGATTCTGCTCCACCCTGAGATTCACTGCACCAAAGAAATCCATTCAATATGTAAAAAACCAACCAACCAAACTAGCAAGGAAGCACAACTGTCCTAGAACAAACCTCAGGGAATATTTAAAAGAGGCTTCTTTAACGACTCCCCTTAGAGCTCAGCATATCTACATCAGTAAATTCAGACCAGATTTACTTATAATTAACTAGAAATATCTTCCTGAGGAATAAAGGAATATAGCCTTTACCATTATCATCAGTGGAGAGACTGGGGCATCACAAGTGAGTGGTTCAGCCCTGCCAAAAAGAGAGATACCTGAAGCCGCCTGCTTTCAGCTGCTAAGACAGAGCATTGGCAGCTACCTTAGAGCTGATGCCCAAGGTGGAGTCACACCAGGAATGGAGTGATCACTGCCACTTTAACAGTCAATACCACGTTTATACGTATGGCTGTGTGTGTACACACGTAGAGGGAACAGAGAGATGGAGAGAGAAAATATAAAGTAGTACAACAACAGCAACATTTCAAAATAAAAATTAACCAAGGCTACCTAGTGTATCAGAAATCCCACAGGATATGGGACAGTCTCTGCTAAAAAAACAGGAACAGAATCATAGGACCACGGAATCATAGAATCATACAATGATTTTGTTGGAAGTGTCCCCCAGGATCATGGATTTCCAACCCCCCCTTGCTGTGGGCAGAGCTGCCAACCACCAGATCAGACTGTCCAAGGCCCCATCAATCATGTTGTTTCCTTAACGGATTAAGAGGAAAATATTAAAGATGTCTGAAGTCTGCTGGTTTTGACTGTGGCGTGGAGAAATGTTAGAACAGGTAACATCTGGAAGCACCATTCCATTCTGTAATCTCAATGGATTCATTCTGTGCACAATATTTTCTTGACAGAACTCATTCAAGACAATATGTAAGAAGTATAATGGACAGGAAAAAAACATTGTTTCAGCTTCACTGATTAACATTTGGTTTGGCAGAAGCAAAAAATACTATCTGGACATTGCAGAGAAGAAACTAGAACAATTCTTTGTAGATTTCAGGGCAGCAAGAAGTTAAACACTACTGCAGTACATCAGACAAAAAGATGCTCTGCTAAAGATGGCAGAGTATGAATCATCACATGCAACCCGTTTGTAGTCTGTCAAGCAATTCCAGAGCTGCGTTCATTCAAACTTGAAAAAGAAAGCAAATTACCAAAGGTAATAGGCAGACATGTCACAGTAGAAATCCCTCTATGCTCCTCCTGTTACTCATAATCTTTTTATATGCAACTACCATGAGCTGCTGGGCAGAAGGACCTTCGGTCTGACCAAGTGTGGCTGTTCCTGTGTTGACAGGAACAGCAGGATGTGGAGAAATAATTTGCAGAGATACTGCCTGAACAGCAAGGAGGTCATAAATTTAGTCATGAAAAAACTGAACATTGAAACAATTTCTACTCATTAATAATGAGATTCTTAAAGAGATTTTAGAGGAGCAGTGGCAAAAAAATTAAAATCTTCCATTGTTAAAGTGGCATGAGATAAGCTTTGTTCCTGTAAAATATCACTCCCCTGATAGCAGAAGACAAGAGTAGATGAGCTGATAGATACATTTTGTCCTTACCTCGTGTTTATGCCCTGTGTCCCGAATTCCCTCCACATTGGAGTCACAATAAAGATCTATTTGAAGTCTGATCTCAAACTCACAACAGCAAAAGCCAAGATTAACTGTGCAGATCACACAGAATCACAGAATGGCCAGGGTTGGAAGGGACCTCAAGGATGATGAAGCTCCAACCCTCCTGCCACGTGCAGGGCCGCCAGCCTCCACATTTAATACTAGACCCAGGGCCCATCCAGTCTGCCCTTGAGCACCTCTAGGGACGGGGCATCCACAGCCTCTCTGGGCAGCTGTTCCAGCACCTCACCACTCTCACAGCAAACAACTTCCCCCTGACATACAGCCTCAATCTGCCCTCCCTCAACTTCAAACCATTTCCCCTTGTCCTGCTGTAACATCTGTGTATTTATCAGAATAAACATCAAGACACTGAAAAAAGACAGAGATTTAAGTACACCATGGCTGCTTTTTCACTTTGCACATCTCGGTTTCTTTGTAGTTAATGAAATTAGATTCAAAGGCACTCACAGATTGATGGATCTCGATAAGATGACGGACACGGTCAGAAGGATGCACCCACAGGGACCAATTTCAAACTGAAAAAGAAAGAATTGTATTTACTTTGTTGCACACGTTATTAATTCCAATCCTAAAGAAACGTAAACCAAACTGAAAGTGGAAAGAACGGTTCTCAGTTATGCTAAAACCGCTTTTCTTTTTTGCTCTACTTGTTCAAATGCAAGGTCTGTGCTGGGGAGACATCGTTGTTCTCTACAACTGCCTGAAAGGAGGTTGTGGGGAGGTGGGGATTGGTCTCTTCTCCTGTGTAACTAGTGACACGATGAGAATGAAAGGCCTCAACTTGCACCAGGGGATGCTGAAGTTGGATATTAGGAACAATTTCTTCTCAGAAGGAGTGGTCAGGCACTGGAATGGGCTGCCCAGGGAGGTGGTGGAGTCACTGACCCTGGAAGTGTTCAAGAAATGTTCAGATGTTGTAGTGAGGGACATGGTTTAGTAGCAACTATTGGTTATGGGTGGATGGTTGGACGGGATGACCTTGGAGATCTTCTCCAACATTGGTGGTTCTATGATTCTATGATTCTACCTTCAGTTGGTGACAGAAACAGTGTTAGACATTACATTCAGAAGCCATCATGAGATTGTTAAATACATGAAGACTGGCAGCTGAACACATGATACCTGGTGAATATTCTGCTGAAGAAGTACAATCAGATCTTCATATCTTGTGGCACTATGCAGGATTAGCTGGGAGGAAATAGAAGAACAAAAATCACCTGAAATAAGAGCAATTCATTCTGAAACACAACAGCTGAGGGAAAGCAGACAAAACTTTAAATCTGACCAGAAGGTTTTCAACTAACATAAAGTGGTATAAAAACCTCTTACTGCTGTTACTTGGTTAAATGCTGCCTCTTGCTGTTTTTAAGTTCATCAAGCCATCAGCTTGCTTCAATTTCATGCAATGCAAAACAATTCTCAGAACAACCATGAAGCCTCAGAAGCAGCAAGCAGCCCAGGAGGCTGCACCCATGGGATGAGCTGTCTATAGCAGACCTCTATCAGAGCCCTTCTTATTGCTCAGAGAATACCCCCATTAATACTCAAACATCACATGAACTTCAGGAGAGCTTACAGCTCCCAGCCCTTCCTTCCAAGCTCTTTGTTTTTGCATCTTCCCATTTTGTCAGCAATGATGGATTTGTGCAGTAAAGATGAAATAATGTTGGCAGCCCTGCCCACAGCTGAGGGTCCATAAGGTCACTTCCAACCTAAGCCACTCTATGATTCCATGATACATGGCTGACCATATCCCTGGCTCTATCTGGAGTTTCCTTTCCATCACTGTTTCACTGTGGCTGTGCCCACATGAGCTTTGATAAGCAGTACTTTGACACAGCACCATGCTGTTGTTTGCACTCTGAAATGACCTGCAGCTCTAAATCATTTTAATGTATTAAAGAATAGTGCTTTTCTTTTGTAACAGCACGTTATAGCTAAGGTTTTGTGCTGCCTCAGTTGCATTTACTCAGGCTTTCACTTCCAGTTGTTTCAAAACTGGTTCTGAAACGTGGTTGGTACCTTTGCTCCTCCATTTAGGAGGCCAGTAATATTTCCTTAAACCACTGAAGCCTGGCTTGTGTCATCAATGTTTACAAAGCCATTTCAGGGCTTCAGATGGAAACAAAGACACAACTGGAAAGTATTTTGCCATTTGGAGCAACTGGGGGGAAAAAAAAAGGCAAAGAATTCTGTATAAAACACAAGAAGAAAATACTGTCTCTTGATGTTCATGGCTGTGCTAGCTGACCTGAAAGGATCCACTTTCAACTTTTACTGCATACCAGCAAAATCAGGCAGAGTTTATAAGCTTGGAAGGTAGATGCAACAAAAAGGACTTCAGAGAGCCCAGCTGTCCACAGGCAGTGGGATGGTTCAGAGCCAAACTGCCAGGTTCTGTGATTTCCAAATCACAACTGACTACTGTAATATTAAAGGTTTTAAAACACTTAAGGGATACACAGAAATTGGACTCTTTGTACTAAAGCAAGAAAAGCTACAAAAGGGATATAGGGAAAATGTGAGCATGAGTTACATAGAGCCTTACAGTTTCTAAGATTCCATCTGCCTTATATTTTCCTATGGGAGTGAACTGCTGTCTTCCTGACGGCCTAAAGAGAATATGCAAACAAAACCAAAGTTCATGTTAAAAGGAACCAAAATCACATTACAGAGAAACCAAAACCTTACATGAACTGAATTACAAACCAAAGATTTGGTATTATTACTTCAATGACTAATTTTTGTTTTTTTTTTAAAGACAACCTCATGCACGATGACTGCATGTTGGGCATCCCATGAACTTTTATTGATGAAACATCTTTAGCTGTGCTCACTCTATTTAATATAAATTACAAGTTTCTCTGTCAAGAAGGAGGATAAATATAGGTTTAAGATATTAACGCCAGTTTTTACTGGGAAGGAATATGAGAGCAGTGACATTAAAAGAGAAGCAGCAGAACAGATGTACAGTAGCATCAGAGGAAATATTTTATAGGCAGAAAACACTCAAAATATCACTGGAAATGTCTCTGAATTTGCTGGCTTCTATTTCAGGTTTGAAGAGCTTCAGTGCCCAGAAGCCTCCAGAAGGTTGTCTGCTCTCACTTTTTCATCAGTCTTAGTTGTTCTAATAAAATAAATGATCTCTTCTCACAAAATCTGGTTTACGTGAAAATATATTGCAGGATTCAGTAACTCCCAGCTATTGGAACAGCAAGAAAGGCCTTTTGTATTTCTTCCTCATCCATTTCACGCTGCATAAATACATCTTGAGGACCACAAAAATGATCCAGGGGTGGAACAATGGAATAAGGACAGGCTGAGGGCTGGGGCTGTGCAAGTGGAGGAGGGAAGGCTGTGGGGAGAGCTGAGAGCAGCCTTCAGTATCTGAAAGGGCTGTAAGAAGGAAGGGGACAGACTCTGTAGGAGGGTCTGTGTGACAGGGCAAGGGGAAATGGCTTCAATCTAAAAGAGGGGAGATTTAGACTTACGGAAGAAAGAAGTTTTGTACAGTGAGGGTGGTGAGTGCTGCACAGGTTGCAGTGAGAGGTGGTGGTGCCCCAACCCTGCAGACACCCGCAGTCAGGGGATGGGCTGTGAGCACTGGTGGAGCTGTGGGTGTCCCTGTGCACTGCAGGGATTTGGACCAGATGGCCTTTAGAGATCCCTTCCAACTCAAACCATTCTGTGACTCTATGATCTTTATGAACTTCCATTTTGTGAACTTCGTACATACTTAACAGACACAGCTATAAGAGCATCATGTAACTGAAGCTGCTTCTCCTACTTACAGTGCCACAACTGCTTTTTCATTGCTTCCTGCACGCCACAAGATGTCTGCAATAGCCATGGTGAGGCATTTGGTCCTGTGAGCTTCTGAGGGCTGGAGACAGCTGTAGTCCAGAAAAAGCAAGAAACAGAAAAGCACCAAAGTGTGTATCACAGAGCTTACTCACGTGAGGGCAAAGTGCCCCAGTCACAGCATGCACAGGTTCATAACAGGCTTTTAGCAATTGATATATGAACAAAAGCACTTTTTTAGAGACTATCCAGGTGTTGTAATGCTAATGCTAATAAGGAGGATCCAGCAAGCTGCCTTGGAAAATTGTCATCTAAGTATTTCAATTGTTTCTGTTGCCAAGAGAGTTAGACAGCTCCAGGTTCTAAATTCCAAAAATTCTTTGAGTTGAACAGCAAGCCACTGTGGTTACTGAGAAGACACACCAGGAGCAGTTGCATGCCACCCTTAGGGCTCAATCATCTGTATGAGATGCCACGAGAGCACTCCCTGTGCATCAGCAGCAGGACTGCCTAGCAAGGGACTGAGCCAGCAATAGCAGGGCTTGGTGCTGCCATTCAGCACCTCAAGGGCTCTAAGCAGGGAGATGCAACTCTATTAGGATTGCTTTATACATTAATATCTGAATTCTAGTTTATAAAGGCCTTCATATTTAATTTCATCCTTGAGCTTTGACTTCTTAACTATTGTCTTCAAGTCTACACTGTGATGTTCCTACCTGCTACTAAAATTTAACTAAAATGCCATTCACAATAAACACCGTGCTTTGCAGAAATGGATTTTTCTCTGCTGACTTCCAGAATGGCCATTCTTGAAATTCAGATATTATCAGTCCCAGGGTTTTACGAGCATGAGAGATGATGTCAGAACCCATTCTCAGCACTTGAGCAAAAAGATCCAGTAATTAAAGGAACGTACAAGAAACACCAAACAAACAAACAAACAAACAAAAAGCATCTTTTCAAGCCTGAATATGATGTTCATTTAGAAAAGATTTCCATATCTGAAGGATGTGAGATTTGGAAAATAATGATGGTGACGGTTTTCAAGCAAAAAATAAATCACAATTTTCCCTTATTTCTGTCTGTGTTCTGGCACAGACATCCAAATATATGGTTAGCATAGGAAGTTGTTTCAACTCAATCCATTTATAATTGATTTGTAGCAGAAGAGGTAGCAGAATAATAAGGATATGTGGTAATTACCTCTTGAACCATGAAGAACTCTCAAGTCAAACACTTACCTTGAAGCAGCCAATACTTTGAAAATCATAGAATCATAGAATCATCAAGGGTGGAAAATGTAGGTTAGAATTAGAAAGGAATACAGATCCTCTGATTTCAAGCTCTGAGTCTGCCCTTTCTTTCTGCCTGCCTAAGAGTTTCTGCCCATGGCAAACTCATCATAAGAGAGATCTGTTTATCTCATGAATAAAACAGCCTGTCTTGCTATTCGTTTTTAAGACCTGGAGACTTTTAGCATTTCTGCACACAAAGATCTCAGCTGCCAACTCAAAGCCCGTTGGGGACTTTCATCATACCTCAGCAGCATTTTTCATATACAAAATATGGAAAAACAAAGTACTTTAAAACCACGTGCGTAATAAGAGGAAAGAAAAAAGAGAGGCAAATATTGCCAAGTACACAAGGCAGGTTGTAGCTGGCATGCATTGGGACACTCGTGGTCAAATAAAGCAATCTAGCTTCAGTCCACTTATCTGGGTGCTACACGATTCTCCAGCATTTAACATCACTTTGTTGTGATGAAAGAGCAAACAGAGAACAGCTCTTAGGGTGTTACTGAGGGTAATCTGAGGCTCAGGCAGATCAAGGAGCAGATGACCAATGGCTGCCCTCCAAACTGAAAAGACCTCTTAATTTTAACTATCAGAAATATAGATTGATTTTCTTTCATGAGTTTTCTCATGGGCATGACCATGATTCTGCATTGAAAACTCTACTGGATTGGAATAAAATTTGCTGTTCTACTAATTTGTGCACCAGCCAGCAGGTGTTCTCTGAGTTGATATATCACCAGCTGAAAAGTTTGAAAAGCTTCTCCCTGTACTAGCAGCAAAGTTTTCCTCAATACCTCTCAGGGATGATCTCTGTATCCTCTTAAAAAAAAAATAAATAAATAAAGGGTGTATAAATTTTGTCAAAATTTCATTGACTGAAGTCTAGAGAAAATGCCCCAAGTACTGGCATGGCTTTTAATGCATTTGGGAAGCACTGTTGGTTAATTTAAAAAGCGTGCTCTGTTTAGATGAATTACAGAAAAATGTGATGTTCTGAAAGAAATGAATGGAAGAAGAAAGAATTAAACTATGTAACACCATAGAATTAAACCAACATAGAGTCAGCTAACCTAACCATAACCCATGAGCTGACATAACACTCTGCTCATGTATTACACCACTGACTCAATGGGTTTACCAGTGTAATTAACTTGAGGTGAGCTCAAGGAGCAGATGATCTTCAGGTGATTAATTCACAGTATCTCATTTATTTGGACATTTGTTTGGGGGTCTGAAAGCAATCAGAGCCATTATTACCCAGCAACAACAATACTAACAATCATAGTCCCTTCCAACTTAGTCATTCTATGATTCTATGATAGTAAATGTTTTATTCTAAGTCTGTAAGTCTGGTTTTTAATGTCTCCAGTGCTAAGCATCTCATTGCAGGTCTGCCTGCCCAATCCTGGGTCTGGACACCTGTGCAGACCCCAATAAAGCTTTGATTAATTGTCACCTCCCATCCCATGTGCTGTAGAGAGATGATGACAAATGCACCCATTTCTTTCCATTATCAATGAACACAGCCCAAACAACTAATTCATACTGATGTGTGTCATGGTTAACTCCGTGACAATGTGAAAGATCAAACAAGAAAAAAAGACAAAGCTGTAACTTTTAAATTCCACCCTTCTTGAGATTCTTAGTGTCAAAAATTGCATGAATTTCATGGTCTTCCAAATCCTGATTGCATTTGCTTTGAAATCATATCTCCGTGGAATCTCGAGGTTCAATGACTACACTTAGAAGAAAACTAAATACAAAATTCATACTCTCTTTCTCTGTCAGAGATAAAGAAAAGCTCTGTTAAGTCCAAACTCCAAAAGGCTCCTGAGGGGCTGCAACACAGAAAATCCTCTTACACTTCTGTATGGAAATTACTTGTGCCAGTTGCTGACTTACCGAGCATCTTTATTCCTGTTACTGTCTCCAAAGATAAGCTGCTGTAGAACACAAGCTTGAACTGCTGCCAGTACTCCACATGGGCCACCCTGAGGGGAACAATTGGACACTCCATTAACAAAACCCCTTGCGCTGTTTGACGCTGGAGAAAACTAGTCTGCAAGCCAGGTGATTCCATTCAGGCTTCATCCATCCTTTCATGTCTCTCTTTCCACCCATGACTTTGCGATGCTCTCTGTTGCTCTCTGTTTTTTGCAAGCCACTGAAAATCAGAATTACTGACTGATAGTGTGCTTCACATCCATTTTTCCTGAAAATCCCTAGAACTTGCCACACTGGCATGGGTCTGTGGGTAGTATGGGTGGTGGGTGGATGGTTGGAGTACATGGGCTTAGAGGTCTTTTCCAACCTTAACAATTCTGTGATTCTATATGATTCTATAATATCAAAGTGAGTATAATGTCAAAGAGAATATTTTAGTGAGAACTATTGGTGACAGGTGGATGGTTGGACTGGATGATCTTGTAGATCTTTTCCAGCCTTGGTGATTCTATGATTCTGTGAAAGGAAAGCTGCTTTTTTAAGCCTGCTCTGTGCTCATGCAAACAAACAAAAGATGCTCCCATCCCTATGAGAGAAAAACTACCTTCATTTCTAGAGAAAAAACAAACTTGACTTTTCTGAAGGACAAAACTTAGCCTTGCCCTTTGAACTCCTCTGAGCACCATGCCTTTCCTCAAATTCCCACTTCTATCATTAATGAAAGATTTCAGTTTTATGTATACCTCTCTGCACTGGGAAGTTATTCCACTGCAGAAGGGAGAAAATAAAGGAAACTTGAATCTTCAAATCCTTAATGTTGGAAATATCACAATACCAACACATATCATATTAACATGAAATGCAGTGGAAAGCAGATTAATGGCTGCTGTGAAAGACTGTGGGTTGGCGTAGCATTGAATTTCCTTCTCCTTGCTTATTCCCAACCACCCAGCCCACCTGATTCCACTGAATGACCAAGACTCATTTCTATGCATTAACTAGATGGCACATTGACACTTTTGCACCACCTCTGATTTCCTTGAGGGAGAGAATGGTTGTGGTTGGAAGGGACCAGAATGGGATCGACTTTGATGTGGTCTGATAGTGATAGGACAAGGGGAAACTGACTTAAACTAAAAGAGGGGAGATTTAGCTGAGATGTGAGGGGGTAATTTTTTACTCAGAGTGTGGTGTGGCAGTGGATGTCCCATCCCTGGAGGTGCTCAAGGCCAGGATGGATGGGGCCCTGGGCACCCGAGCTGGTGGCTGGCAACCAGACCACGTCAGAAGGGTTGGAACAAGATGATGATGAAGGTCCCCTCCAACCTAAGCCATTCTGTGATTCTATAATCTTCAGTAGATTCCTTCCATCTCAAATCTCCTAGCAGACTTGACAAGGTAACATCATCCAGTGAAAAGCAGTAAGAGTAAAGAAAGCAAAGACTCTTTAGAAGACTTATTTTTTTCACTGCTAAAACACACAGCCTCTGTAAACTTCATGTAAAAAGCAAAGATCACTTTTTTTTTTTTTTAAGAAGCTCACTTACAGTACCTTTTTTTGTACAATGCCATATTTTAACTGAGGTATGTTATTAAATGTAAAACTCTGTATTTTCCATTCTTCACTGAAGCAACAAAGACTGGAGCCAAACAGAAGATTTTTTAATTCCTATTAAAAAAAAAAAGAAGTAGAAAATGTATGATTTTAAAAATAAATACAAAATATATACATACACACACACACTAATGTTTTCTAGCAGTCATTTATAGAAAGAAAGGCAGAGTGTGGCAGGGTAATGACTAACTCACCATAGCCACCCTTTTCTCTTTTATACTTACTGTAAATAGCAACACCCAAATGAAACGGAACAATTTTTTCCTTTTCCTGCAATATTACTTCAACTCATAACGCTGTGTATTGCTCAGCACTAGGAAACTGTCTAGGCAGACTGGCTGGGGCAGTTTCCCATGGAAGCATTACAAAATAGTGCCTCAAAGCTGCAGCAAAAGGGCGATGGCTAGTCATGGCTGACAAAAGTGATAAAAGGACCCTGCTGGACACAGCACACAGAAAAGACAGAAGCCTGTTTTGCTTGTCCAAGTTGCTGGTATAAGACAAATGCTGTTCAGAGATTTACCTATGTCTGGCATAATTCAAATTGGCAAAATTCAAATTCAGATCTTGGCCCTGAATGACTGCAGACTCTGCTACTAAGGAATAGCTAAGCTGAAGAATTGCTTTCAGTCTAAAGTAAGGCTGAGCAAATAAGGACTGACTGCTTAGGGTTTGCACCATCACTTTGATATGTCTTTGATAGCAAATTAAGTCACAAGAAATCCTCATTATCTTTTCCCTGTGGCTGTATTAATGATTTTTTTTTTATTTTAATTTTTATTTATTCTTTTTTTTTTGTCTGAAGTGGAAGTAAAAATTAAAAGCACTTAATATTTACATCTCTGCTCAAAGCAAGGAAGGTGAGCAAAGGAGATGCAGTGGTGAATCAGTCAATAAGACGACAGGTAGACAAGCACATGCAAAACTGACAAGAGCTATTAATAAAATAATATGTGCTTCTTCACTTAAAGCCCTAATCCGTGGTTCAGGTGGCTGATAAATTCCCACATGCTCTTCTGGTATTTTTCTGAATTCTGTTTGGGTGTCCCTATGTTACCTTTACACATGAATACCAAATAAGGATGATATTCAAGAGGATGTACAGCAAGAGTTAAACCACAAACAAACACAACACAGAATAATCCATTGCTGCTCTAACTGGACAGAAATGACAATTTCACACTTCCATTTCTATATACCATCATAGCCTTACTTTTGCAAGAGAAATATCAATCGCCTTTGACGCTTCTTGAAGCATATGCAGTGCCGAAAGATTCAGGTTCCTACTGACTTCTCCAGTTGTTGCTTCATCCTCAACGTCAACTGAAAGTAAAGGAAGAACATATAATGAGTTGAAGGGAAAAAAAAGTTACGTCTGCTCCCACCAGTAGGGGAAATTATAGACTTAGTCAGAAAATAAATAAAGGCTGAATGGGGCTTTGACCAACCTTGTCTGGTGGGAGGTGTCCTTGCCCAAGCAGTGAGGTTGAAACAAGATGTTCTCTATTCCAGCCCAAATCACTTTATAATTCTATGATAAGCCATCCTTTCTTTGATTATTTCTTAATAACTTCTTCACACAGTCTCACCAGAGAATAATAGCAAATGCAATTACTCTAAATCAACGAAGCATTGCCAAAGAAAAGATTCAAACGTCTTTGATCACAGTTTCTCTAAAGAATATGTTGGTGAAAGCCAAACTGAGTCTGAACAAACTTACCTAATTCTAGGGTGTCTTTCATCTGGTCTTCTTTATTCCAAGTGGATGTTGGAGACTTCCTACATTAAAATCGAAAAACAAATAAGTGAATGCTTCCTTTAATGAGAAATGTTTCTTGCATAAATGAGGAAAAAAAAATGTGATAAAATCAGGCAAAAATAAAAATATATAAAATTATTCAATGTCTTTTATCTTAGGTTTTAATGCATTTTGCATAGAAGAGCTCAGATTTATCACCATTTGTGTCCAAATAAACAGTGCTAGAACAAAGACATTTTTACTGGAAGAGAGCTGAAAGGCAGTCGGCAAAGAGCAGCACAATGCAAATGATTCAGGATTTCAGTCTTACTTCAACGCTGACTTAATTTCATCTGTGTGATTTCAGTAGAGGTCAGACCTTGCCTGCTCATCAACAGAGGCAGATACGTACAGCCCCGAATTTTGTGAGGGCATTCAAGTACATGGGACTACCTGAGTTCAAAAGGTTATGACATAAGTTAATATGATGGGGACTGGGATGAGGTCGAAACTGGCTATTAAACTACTTTAAATATCCAAAACATGTAAGTGAGAATCAGTGTTAGATTATATGCCTCTACCAGGGTAATTTTTCATCCACTCATAGGAACAGTTGCTCAAAAGGGACGTGGTTTAGTGGGAATCTTGGTGGTAGGTGGGCAGTTGGGCAGATGATCTTGGAGGTCTTTCCCAAACTTGGTGATTCTACAATTCTGTCATTCTACTACACGCTCTTGTAATTTGTCTATTACATAAATGACAAGTTAAAACTGCACAAGCAGAAATACTGAAGGGACGAAGCAGTTAAGCTTGGCTGTTAAAACAGAAGTTAAATAGAAAGATATATTTTGAGAGGTGAGATGGGTTTCCTCTTCCTGTAGAATTCATACCAAAATGAATTCAGAACTCAGGAAAAGTTTCAAATAACCATTGTAAAAAGATGATCTTTTTCTTTTTTTTTTTTTTTACAAGAGCAGCGCTGTACCACTGGCCTTTGCTTTGGAAAAAATGGTCTTGCACTGACAGACCTTTCAGAAATAGTATGGGATAATTTCCTCAGCAACATCCTTTGTGTGCATGATATTATTATAGCAACAACTGCTGTCATATCACATACTTTCCATTAACTTAATTTCCTTTTTCAGTATGTGGAAGATGAATGAAAACAGAACACACACACACATTACACTCAATATTCTTCCAGTTTAAAATCTTTTTGGTACATTGACAGTCTTTGGTATTAAAATAATAGAAACACCTCTCTTTCTGTGTACATCCATGTTTAAAAGGATGAAATGTGCACAGCCACAATTAAGAAAATATAGAACACAAATAAAAACCACCACATTACTAAGGATTAAGGGTAAAAATAAATCAGATGTCCAACAGGTAAGCATAGATAAGAGAACCTAGAGCAAATACATACAGTGCTATTTGTACTGAATTCCCACTGAACAAACAGTACTTTCTGCTAATACTGGATTCCAACTCAGACTTCTTTCTGCCACTTGCTGTTATTTTCATCTCTCCTGGTCAGAGGAGTCTCAACGACACTCAATTTGCAAATAACCTGTTTTTCAGCCAAGTACTGATGCCACTGAACTGCACTTAGGCTCAAACAGAATCCACATTCTTGTTTTGTCTGAGTTTGCAAACTATTGTCTCTTGTTTCCTAGAGAATAATGCGTTTCCCTCCGAGGTCAACCCATTTGGATCTGGTTTTCAAAACAGAGCTATTAATGCTAAAGAATACAGCACTATCATTTACAGCTATTGACCAGGTCTGGAAGGAGACAGGATTTAGCACACACCTCCACTAATCCATACTGTTTCTCGTTTCCATGTTTCCTAACATGGGTCTGACCCACACCATCCAAGATTCTCCCAAGCAATGCCCAAAGAGAGCTCACAGAATGGCATGCTGCCATTTTGCAGCAGGACTGGCTCCTTCTTTGCTCTACCAACACCACCCCAGGAGGATTCATGTCCTCAAACATCCCACCATGCCATACTGCCCTTTATTTTCATTTTACAAAAGCACTCCTCCTGAGGGTGCATCAACAAACTGACATAATTTCAGAGCCAATTCTCTCCAGCTCAACAAACCAGCTCACAAACAGGAAACAAAATTATATTTTATAGCCACAATAGGAGACCTGGAAGAGATCTAAAGTCAAATGCTACATCATGCAAACACAACCAGGATACAGCAAGAAGAGTCACTGTACCTGGTTCTGTTTCACTTAGCAGCACAGACTTAAGTACAGAATTTCAGTACAGAAGGAGGCCAAGCAACGTGTGGTTAATTACACTTTTCCATTAGGAATGCCATTCCCACTACATCAACATTACAATCAAGGAAGTCAATGAGTATCAGAAAAGTTATTAGTCTCCATTTATATTTTACTGCACTTTGCTATATAGAAAACTCAGGATTTAAATATGAATTTAGTCAGTGTGGACATGGGTGTTGAAAACAAGTGCTGATGTCTAGCAATCACAAATACAAGGACAGGATCTACCTTTTAGTGCTCTTGCTTCTCCTATATATCCTTACATACACGTCCCTCAGCTCTCTGTCAATCTAATGGTCTCCATCAGCATACCAAGCTCCGTAAAGCACAGATTTCCCACTTCATACATGAAAAAAATTGAGGCTGATTAACTTGAGAGGTGATTTTCACAGCATTACCTGAAGCAAATCCGCCTAGGTGTTGCTATAATTATCCTGTCACAGTTCAAAAGAGTCATAAGCAACTTACACATCCTTCTCCAAACTTAAACCCTGGCGCATTAAGCAGTTAATAGGAAGACATCATGTCAATACCCATCAGCTGCTTGAAACAGTGTTTAGATCTGAGTGATTGTCACGGCATGACAAAGGGTACAGGATTCAATTTGCAGATTAAGAAACCTAAATTTAGTTGCCTACATATTTGGGTGTCAGCATTCCCATGATAATTGATTCATGACTGAGTCAGCACTCAGGAGGCTCAAGCCAAGAGCTTCAAAAGCCTTTCAGACAACTAAGTATATGTGCCAACAAGTAGGAACTCAGGCATCTGGATTTACATAAGGTCCCTTAGGTACCTCATCCTACCTGGCCTCAACCACTGCTTCAGCAGGATTTGGATTTTTTGCTAGCATCATTAGATGTCTTCAGTACCTTAGAGTCTCACATGGCAATATATGCCTATGTTTAAGCTGACATTAAGTTAGCTTTCTTGATTAATTTTTGTCCCAAGTACTTCCCAGTAGCGTTTCATCCGAAAAATGTGTAAATGAAAATAAAGCTGACTACGGCACAAGGACCATTTTTGGTAACACTACTGCTTTCTGGTGAGTATAAAAGACGTTGGTTATACACCCGTTCCTGGAAAAACCATGCCCTGAATGCAAAGTGCTTTGATTTCTCAAGGCAGAAGGAAATTCCTATCAGGCTGAGGAAAGCGCTGACATCAAAGATTGATGTCGGGTGTTTTCTGGTTAAGTAGGGCATTTTTGCCAATGGAGGTTATTCAAAAGTTCTCTCCCTAAGGTTTCTCAAAACACTGTGGGGACATTTATTGCAATTTCCATTTCAGCAGATGGTTACAGCTCCAGGAAAATTTATTGTACATGTAAAACCGTACGGTTAGAATGCTGAGGAAGGGGGAAGTCATCTGTCATGGCAGAAAAATGGGACAGGAAGAAAATATGTTTCATTATAAACATCCTATACAGTACTTTCTCTAAATATTTGAACATTCCTATCTGATTCTCGGGTATTGTAGAAAACAGTTTACACAGAAGAGCTGAACATGCAGAAAAAGCAGTTATCTTCACAATAACCCATGTGCATTCCACTGTTTCCTATTTACATTACTGTATATATAGGTAAAGAAACAAACTGGCTTAAAATAAAAACATTGATCACCAGCAGCTTTAAGGCTACTGTGTTGGGAAAACTTATTGTCACTGCTCGATGAAAACAGCTTTTTCTACTGGACGTGTGCCTTTTCTGCATGGCAACTTACAGTGCCAGAAGGATGCCTGGAGGTCACAGTTATACCATCTTGTGCACTATGCTTCAACAGAAGTATAGAGAAAGTAGGATAATGAAAGCGTAGCTTGACCATTCACACACCCATCAAAGATTTTTTGGCATGGCACCCCCACACAGCATTATAAAGACACACAACAACACATTTTAACTGATCATTACAACCCCCGGTTCAAATAAACCATCAAAATAAACACTTATCAATAAAACAAGAGGGCTAAAATTCCTTTAAATACAGATGATCCAAGACATCAGCAAAGAGATACAGCATAAAGCACATGATGGGCTCCCAGTGCTCAACACTCAATTAATTCACACCACTGGAGGTGAGTACCACCTCCCATTTTGTTTGCCATATGAAGTATACATTCCTTTTGGTTTTGGCCTTCAACTTTCAGGCCATTTATTTTTAAAGATGTGGAAAGTTCTTGGCCTTCCATTTCCCATTAGAAACCTTCCATTTTTAAGAGTAAACTGACAGACTTTAGCAAAATAAATTCTCTTCCTGAAAGCTGATGTCAGATGTCAACTGGAAGAAGACAACAGCTTACACTGAAGGGTGGGCTTCATCTTAGAACTCATTTTACTATGAAAACTCAAACACAGAGAACAGCCTACTGGCAAACGCGTGCACTGTCCTATTACAGCAGCCTTAGGGAAGTAGTGCAGAGGTGAAAACAAATTCCTTCTGCTTCTTGCAACCAGTGTTTTTTGTTGTTTTTTTTTTTAAGGAGGAGGAAATTTCTTGTGCTTCTTCCAGTAGTGTGATGTTCTGCCCATTAAAAGGGGATGCATGCTGTTTGCTCTTGGTTTAAATCCGAGAAGATCTAAAGCCCTGGTATGTACATATGAACCAGGCAACTTCTCAATGACTGAATGCATTTTAGGCACAGGCTGGACACTTCCAATTTGACATCCTTTCCAAAAACTAAATAAAATAAACAAACAAAAAAATGATACAGAAGCCATTTGCCATTTCCAGTAATTGCACAGCACCTC